GTGACGTGATGGGCATGATGGTCCCTAAATTAATTAAGGAATATTCCTTAAACATCTTTTAGGATCCCTCATATAATTTTAGGAATCTTCCTTAATGAAGGGATATTGGAGTCTCTGAAACCCTAAATGGGAGTTTCCGGTAATAGGGGGTACCTTATTTAGGGGCCCTATAATAAGGATCCTACTATCTAGGGTACTATGTTAGGGTCCCCTATTTTCGGAAACTCCCACCTTAAACCCTAAGCCTTCTTAGAACCCTTCCAGATCCCTTAAAGGAACCCTTATGGTACCCTTTAAAGGAACCCTAAATATGAAAGCACTCAGGATTTTTAAGCCAAGATGCCGGCGGCCCCCAGGCCGCAAGAGGCGTAGCACTCGGCATGACCTCGTAAGCCGAAACCCTAGACCTTTAGGGTTTACCCTAAGGCCCCAAAGTAGCTCCTTTTTGGGGGTTCGTATATAGAATCCTATAAGGTAATCCCACAAAGGAACTACTTTGGGGCCCATGGGTACAGTTTAGGGCTTAAAGTCTAAGGAAGTTTAGGGTTTAGGGCCCTAAACCCTCAAACACCTAAGCCGCGAATTAAACCCTAAACCCTCAAAACGAAAACACTTAAACCCCTAAACCTTACAAACCCCTGAACCCCTAAATCCTGAACCTCGCGGACCACAGCTGGGCTCAAAAAGTGCACGCACCCAGAACGCCGCCATCAAGACAACGGATGCAGGCACCTCTATTGGAGTTAAGGTTTGCGGCTGAGGGTTTAGGGGTTCAGGGTTTATGTTATAAGGCTTTCAGTCTAAGCTTTAGAGCTTAGGGCTTAGGGTAATCGCTTATGGGGTGCATGTACCCTGTCGCGAGGTGATACATGTACATACGGGTATAGCAGTTTTAAGTGCCCCCACTTCTGGTGGGTTTAGGGTTCGGGTTCAGGGGCCAGGGTTCTGCAGAAACAAACTGGAGGCACTTGAAAACACGATACTGGTAAGTAAATCAATAAATATACATATATATATATATACATATACACTCTACCCCCTTAGAGCAATAATCAACATTTTGTGTGTACGATTCTCTTTGGTTTCATATGCACAAAAACGATAATGAAAATAACTCCTGAGGAGACTACAGTATATCTAACTTTAGCGCCTTAATCTTCAAGTAGGGCCGGATCTTCGGGTTCTTCCGTGAAGCCAGCGTCCAAACCAGGATCATCCACAAGTATGCGACGCTCACGGCTGACGCCTCGACAAACTCCCCGGGATCCTCGGATACCAATCGCATACAGGGGTTTAAGTTTTTTGTGAATCCCTCCTTTCGCCCGCGGAGTAACCCCTCGACGAAATGGCGGTTTAAGGTTTTGGGTTTAGAGGCCCGATAACTCTTCAGTTATGGGATTGCTGCCTGCTTGGGGTGTCTCAGCGCATTCCTGTATTTTCCAAAGGGTGCACACTGCCACTGCAATGGATATTAAATCAACACTCCACCGCAAGAAAGGGCATCAGGACATGTAATATCGTTCCAATCGCTTACGGGCCACTGGCTTGAAGTAGTGCAGTCTGGTCTTTGACCACTGTTCATAACTCGACAAAGAGCCCTCCCTGTATGAACCTTAGCCCCCAAAACCTACAAATTTGTGATGCACGTTGGAGGCTCAATAAGAAGCAGATTATTTACATGAGTTCAACATCTACGCCGGATCTCCTCCGTGCCGAAGGCATCGGACACCGCCAAGATGACTGCGACGAAACCCACCGTTAATCCGACACTGGACATCCAAGCCTGGGCCATTTCCACTACTACGTGCCTATGTGGTGTACCTATGGTCTCCATTGCAGCTTCTTGGCACTTGGGTAACCATGTTTCAACTTTATGGCTCGGATCCTACACTCTAAACCTCCTTAACCCAAAGGAGGAACTACAATGCAGACTAGGTAAAGCCGAAACTCTGAACCCTAAAGGCAACAGGTATCATGTAAGACAGAGGCACTTGCACTTGCAGCGCTTGCAAAATTCAGGGAAAGGGTTTGCGGGGCCAGAGATTCGGCACTTGTATCTGTAAGTTTGGGGCCTTAGAAGTTAAGGAGAGGTGTAGGATTTCGCTTAGAGCTTAGGGTTCTTCAGCCTCGACTGCTTTGTCCCATAATGGTCATAATGAGTGCTGATGCAAAGCCATGCATTCAAAAGGCCTGAAGCCCAACCCCGAAGCTAAAGCTTGGGGTTCAGGGCTTAGGAACCCTAGAAAAACCTCGACCCCGTGAGACACATACGAATACCGTCCTAATCTCCGGTAAATGCTACGCTGCCGTCACTATTTGCTGAACCCCAAATACCCAATTATTCCACACTTTGATGACGGATTTAGGTTTCGGTTTCGGACATGAATTCTAAAATCCTTTCAAACCCCTGCAAAACCCTAGGAAGCCGTGGGAAGACCCGATAGATGACTGACTATGATACCCTGCAAACGCTTCCGGAAACCCTTCAAGACACTTTTACAAACACTCGCAAGAGCTCTCATCGACAAAACGCCTTGTCTTCAACCCTGACAAGGCCCTCACCAAAACCCATCTACAACTCCAATCGAACCCATGAAGGAGACCCTTTAAGTAAGACCCGGAGGCCAGGATCCAGAGACGACTCGGAAATAGCCCCTCAGCTACACCGACACCGATACACCTGGGCCACTGTCGGGGCAGCTTTGAAGGTGTCGACACGAGATCTTTTCAAGCTTTTCCGTGACGAGCATATAGAAGGTCTTCTATAAGGTTTTGGGTCTCTTATGGGTCTTTACAACGAGGGTTCCTATTCGGGCTTGCGTGAAGGCTTCTATACAGGTCCTGTTAGGATCTCTGACACATGAACTTCGGGACCCCTCAACCCCAAACCCTAAATCCAAAACCCTAAACCCCAAACAGTAAACCCTAAACCCCGAACACCCCAAACCCAAAATAATACAGTGCTTAAGTGATCGAATCAGGCACAGCCGGCAGCCACAGGCCACAGCGACAAGCACACGGGCAAAGAGTAGCTCGATGTTCTCACCCGCGAAGGACAAGAGACTGGCGAGGACCTGCAATCACCCTTGTCCTTGTAGAAATAATAGACAGAGCCCTATACCTATATCCCTCAGTAGGAATTACTTAAGAAGATCTACTAGCCGATCTGTTTATTCTTTTGGGGGAACCATGAACAAGGACAAGGCTGCCTGCAATAGCAAGGAGACGGTGAAGAGAGCAAAGTAGCCTGTGTAGAGGATCCGGTAGCAAAATCCGGGCCAGCTGTCCGCGACTTCGCAACCGCCTGAACCATCCTCGATTACCCGACAGCAGTTAAAACCCCAGGAAGCCAGGAAGAACAGTGCGGGAAGTCCTGCTCCAAGTATAGCGCCCCCATACTGACCAACATTCTCGTAGGGATCCAAGATGATCTCGTTCGTAATAACACCCGGACATGGACCCATTGCGCTCGTGGTATTCATGCTTGCTGAAGGCGGGTGGTTCTCTAGACTGACACGAAGCAAAGATAGTCCCCAAAACTCCTTCAGAGGACCCCACCAAGTCGAAGCAAGACGATCTTCAACTTTTCGGCTGCATTATCTGTAAAGACCTCAGGTTCTAGACGGGGAGCTGGTTTTTTAGACATGCTACGGCAAAGATTTCGAGCCTCAGTTCGCAAAGGCATGTCCGAGACGGCCCGAGACTGCGGGAATTGACGCTCTTGAAGCAAACTCGGCATGGGAACTGTGTACCAGAATTCCCTAAACACCAAGCCCTGAATCCTAAATGCCAAACCCCAAAAGCCCTAATCCCTGAAGTTTCCAAACCCTGAAGCCCCACACGGCCACAAGGCACTCGCCACTTAAGCCGGATCGTGGCGGGCGAAGCCGACATATAGGGGCTTGAGTAGTACTCTCCCAAGTTCGGATGTAGCCGTATACTGTATCTCAGCATCTAGCCCGCAGTTACCAACACACCTCCATAACTAACTAACACCAGCATTCCGGAAGATCCTGAAAATTATGAATCCCAAAGGGTCCAAGTATCATTATGGTATATACTTATAGGGTAGTTTGGGGGTCTGAGTATATACCATAATGATACTTGGACCCTTGGGGAATCTACTAGTGTACCCCAAACCACATTAACAACTTCAGGATCCGGGGAATGCGATCTCGAGGGTGCTCCGGCTGGCCCCCTGCCACAAGAAACATGTCATCATAGCCTGGAAAGCTACCAAGCTATGCTGAACCCTATGCCCTACCCATGGGCTCCATAGTAGTTCCTTCTGGCAACTCATATTTAGAACCCTGTAAGGTAATCCCCAAAAGGAACTACTATGGAGCCGATGGGTAGAACCTAAAACTTCAAGCCCTAAGTAGCCAACCACCGTTTTCAACAGACGCACACACGCAAAAAAAAAGCGCTAACCAAGACCTGCCTGTCGCATGGCCAAACGGCAGCTGTGTCAGCCCATTCAGATGACATGAAGCACTGTGGGTTTGGGTGTCCATTCCTAGACCTAAGAGTAACCTAGGAGTAAAAAGGGTGCCCTTTTCGGGTCTAAAGGGTGCTATAAGGGAACCTAAACCCTCAAAAAGGGAATAAGGGCCTACTATGGGTCCTAGATTCAAGATGTAAGATTGCTACCGGTTGGTCCAGGTTGGAGGCCTTGAGGTCTAAAGGTTCGCTTGAAGGTTCAGGGACATGAGAAGCAGCTGACATGTGAGACAGGTGTGGTTATCCTAACTAGAAAAGCTACCATACTGCTTGCAATCTGCGGCTTTGAAGACGGCGGCAGAGCCTGGAGCCAAGCTCAAGCAATGGAGACTGACAGATGATGACGCCAAGCAGATGCATGCCTTGTCCCCCATGTGAGAGAGCAGGACGCGTAGAGACGATGAGACAAGATGACCGCTGGGGTTGCTTATGAGAACAATTAACTATTGCGCGATATACCGCGATATACCGAAACAACACGGAGATAGAGAGAGAGAGAGGGCCTGTGTCGTCGCATGCCGGGTTCGCATTGACGGAAGGTCTTGCACGTTGGAGGCAGGTACTGGTATGGAAGGATACAAGTCCCTTAGCTGAGCTCAGCCAGCTAAGTTAAAAGTAAGTCGTAAGAATTAGCTACCTTGCATATGGGTGGTTGTCAAAATTATGGCCCGTTTTGGGGTACCCTAAAAATATTAGGTGCCGCAACTATACTAGGGATCCCAAAGGATACCATATTTTCGACAGCCACCCATATAGCCTTAGTTACCAGGGTCCAAAAGCCATGATCCTTTAAATACCCCCTCTCAGTCATACAACTATGCCGACTCAGAGGGGTTGAGGGCTGGGAAAGAAATACCATACCTACAGCCTCCTTTGTAGTTCCTTTTTGTGGTGTGACCAGCTATAAGTTTAGGATCCTATAAGGTAACCCCAAACAGGAAGAACAACGGAGACAATAGGCCCAGACCTTCCAAAATCCCTTAATTAAGGAATATACCTTAAATTATAATAGGATCCCTAATATGATTTAAGGTATATTCCTTAATTAAGGGATTTTGGAAGGTCTGGGGGTAACGGCGACTGGACGGTGGTAATACCAATCGAAACCGATGGCATCGAGAGGACCAGGTATTCAGGTCCTCCCCGATCGATAGAATCCCTGAACTTATAGGGGCCTTAAGAATTAGAATAGGGTTTTGGGGCCCATTATACTATAATTACACTAAGGAACCCACCAAAATACTACAGGTAATTATTTAGGCCCGTATATTATTCTCCAAACCCTGCCCTAAGCCCTGAACCAGAAGCTTGCATGCTCCTTTCACCGGCACGGTCCCGGTCCGGATTTGTGCTTCCCACTCGCGCAGCGCCCTGCGGAGTCGTCTCTCGCCAGCTGCCGAAGAGAGCCCATCAATCCATCAATCCCACTCAGGATGCACACTTCAACCCCAAACTCTCAAACCCTAAACCCCTAAGCCCAAACCTCACCTGACAGCCCTAAACTCAGCCTGCACCCCAAGCCCCAGCTCCAAAGCACAAGAGTTACGCAAAAGCCTGAAACACTAAATCTAGGGGCCCCAATGATTAGAATAGGATTTTGGGTGGGTGGGGGGGTATATTATATTATACGTAGAATATGTGATAATGTTCGGGAACCCCATGCAGGGCTTGATCATCGTATATCCCTAAGGGTCCATCTACCCACATAACATATACTGTAGCCTTTTTGGGCCAATTTTAATGTATATACTATAATATAGTAAGGGTACATGGGCCCTTCCGGTATGGTCATCGTATGGGAGAAGCCAGAAAGTTAGACCGTTATAGTCCTGATGCCCTGAAGGTGAAGTAGACTAGAGGGAATCCCAGCACTAATTAATCATCCTAAATCCATGTTCCAACTTCCTGGGGTTCACCCTACCTAGAGGCTCACAGCCTACCCCTTTTTCAGGGCACCCAGTTTTTCTATACAACAGATCCTAACAAGAAAACTAGGTATCCTAAACAGGGGGGTACCTGGACCCTATAAAACCTTCCTTTTTTGGTGTTCCTGATTATGATTTCCGTATATCGGTTCTTAACAGAGTAGGTTCTTCAGGGTCCAGGTAGGGTATGAGCCTCTAGGTATGGTCGTCCCCGTTTTCATGTGGGTTCCTTGAAGGGCTCCTGTAAGGGGTCTATACGGGTACCAGAAGGGTTTGGGGTTTAGGGTTTAAGGTGTGCTCATACAGCATATACAGTATATACAGTGGCCTCCATGTAGTTCCAACTTAGCTACTTTGGGGCCCAAGTATATGCTATATGAGTACATGGACCCTTAGGGTAAGATCTGAACCTTAAGGATGCAATCTTCAAAAGGCAAAGCCTGAAACATTGAGCTCTGTCAGACAGCTTAGGCTCAAAGACGTAGGTCCTAAGCCACATGCACTTTGTACAACGTCCTATCGGACAACCAGTTCGGCCTCGTGAACTTTGGATCATGCTTTAGGGGTTAGGACAGAAGTTTAGGGTTTATAGCGTTCATGGCCTTTTCCCAAGGTTCATTAGATTTTTGCGGGCAGCTGCAGGCCTAAATCTTAAACCCAAAACCACAAAGGATTTGTGAAGTGCTGCCGAAACTTATCAGAATTTCTTGCGCTACGGATCTTCATTTTTAGGGCTCCCAAAAGAGCATCGGTGGCTTCGAATATCTAAGTTTTCTTTCGTGCCACAGCTCCCTTTTGCACGGCTCTTGACGGGGCTTTGGGGGTTTGCGGGGGTTGAAGGGCCGGAGCTTCGAGATGACGCCTGTTTGGAGCTTTCCTGTATCATTGGAGATGGTGAGTCTGAGCTTGTACCCATGGCTGAAGGTTTAGGGGTTCAGGGCCCAGGGTGTTTATTTTTATGTTTTTTTTTTGCGGGGGTTCATGCATTGAAAGCTTCGAGGAAGAGCGTCAACACGGAATTCTGGCATAGTGCTTTTGGTTTAAGTTGTCTTTTAAAGTGCAGCGGCCTTTTCTCCGGTTTGGGGGTTGAGTAGCCAGGGTTTAGTCCCTAGTGTTTAGGGGTTGGGGACCCCGCTCTGTACTCTAGACTTTCCTCGTCATAAGAAGACTCTAAGGTGATATGCCTTCTGCCCAGCAAGAGTGGTGTCTTTTGCACACCTGTTCACGTAATCTACACATCAAATGATTGCATTCTTTAAGAGCTCCTTCGTGGGATACTGCAACGGATGGGAAAAGGGTGCTGCAGCTGCTAAGGGTTTAGAAGTTTCAGCGCTCTGCTTTAGCGAGTGGCAGGCTTAAGGGTTCAGCGGATGCTTTGATGAAGCCACTTACGATTGCTAAGACCCCGTTCATCATTGCCGTTACCGTCACTGAAGTCCTAAAGCCGCCTTGAGCCCGTCTTATGGTGATGTCCTTTATAACCCTCAAACGGGGTTACATGAACATAGGCGGGGATCAAACTCGAAACGTTTGATCCCCGTGACGGATGCAAGGACGTAAGGTCGAACCAGGAGATGAATTTTGCATGTACAGGCCTGTCAGCAATTCCAGCTGTGAGGGCGGGTTCTGCTTTGGATCAGGCAGTTTGCTTCTGTTCAGTTCGGATTCTCTCATGCACCTTCCTGCACAAATCCTAGGCTTAAGTGATGAGTGTTGGGGCTCTGATGTGTTTCGTGTAGAGCTGCGAAAGTGACTAGTCGTTGCTAACAAGTCGTCTGCAGAGTTTAGATATGCACAGGCTTTAGCTTTAGCACGTAGGACTGGAAAACCTTTGAAAAAAAAACAGTTTCCATAAGCGCCGAATTACGAGGCGACAGCTTTACACAGTCCCAGTACCCTTCGTCAAGAAGGCCCCAGACCCCCGGGAGGATCTAGAAAGTAGATCCCAAGAGGAACCCCCAATAAGGGATGTACTTTTTGGATCCTCCTGGGGGTCTGGGGCATGCAGAATTCAGGGTTTAGCACTCAGTAGCCGCCTGACCCACAACATCTGTCCA